GAACTTTTGAAAGTTACAAGCAAGTCCTATATGTTCGGACCGAAAACGGTCTGGATATATTTATAGAATGACGCCTGTTGGGAGACGGAACTTTTAAAAGTTACAAGCAAGTCCTATATGTTCGGACCGAAAACGGTCTGGATATAGTTTGAGAATGACGCTTGTTGGGAGACGGAACTTTTAAAAGTTACAGGCAAGTCCTATATGTTCGGACCGATACCGGTCTGGATATAGTTTGAGAATGACGCCTGTTGGGGGACGAAACTTTTAAAAGTTACAGGCAAGTCCTATATGTTTGGACCGATACCGGTCTGGATATATTTATAGAATGGCGCCGGTTGGGGGACAGAACTTTTAAAAGTTACAAGCAAGTCCACAATATTCGGACCAATAACGGTCTGGATATAAGTTGCAGCTGGGTCCTCAATATTCGGACCGATACCGGTCCGTATATATTTGCGATGCCTCTTCCCCCCACAGTTACAGACCGTTGTAGGTTCGTATATATTTTTTTATTTTATTATATTATTTTGTTGGGACCAATTTCGGTCCGCTTATTTCAATTTCTCAATAATTATTTATATTTCTTACTAAAATATCCGGACCGATTTCGGTCCGAATATTATATATATACGAACTGATTATGCGTCGGTCTGTATATTATACTTATTCGTACCAGGTTTTTTCGGATCAACTATAAGGACCAATATCGGTCCGGATATATATATTCAGACCGATTTCCTATATATCCGGACCGATATTTCGGTTCGGAAATCCCATTCCTGCAGTAGTGGGAAGAGAAAGTACAAAAAGAAAGAAGACATAGGAAGGATAGGGGAATAGAAAATAGAGATGGAAAAAGATGAAGAAATATTAGCAGACGTACCTACACAATATAGGAAAGTAAATGTGAAATGAAAAGTAAATGTGAAATGAAAGAAAAAAAATTAATTATATAATGTGGGAAAAATCACCTCATGCATGACAAATGATGAGTGTAGATGTTAAAACTTAGAGGATTAATGTGTTTTAAGGCATGTTCTACTTAATTACATATAGTCAAACATTAGTTTTACTAAATTAACAAGTAGTAAATTAATTAGGTGTTAATCTCCCAATTACAAGAAAATTAATAAAAGTTGGGATTGTGGTATCATTGAACAAAAAGTAGATTTTTCACCCTATATAGATCTTTCATTTTATTAAGTGCATGTGAGGTCAATAGCATTAATTTAGAATAATTATTTAAAATTAATATTATAATAATTAATAATTACCATAAAGAGTCAATGTAAATGAATTAGGTATAGTGCTGAAATGGCACCTAGTTTGTATAAAAATACATAAAAGGTAATTTCATTTTCAACACCAACAACATGTATGCCATTTTAATTGAGTGATTAATAAAATTAAAATGAACTTTTATTTTTTTTATAATAATTAATAAAAAAAAGGATCACCAATTGTTTATACCATATTTAACAATTTTCTTTATGATGTCATGTGTCCTTAATATAGTTTTAATGGCCATAATTTTTTTTTTATACAAATGGGAATTCAAAAAATGATCAATAGTCATGATTTGGTGTGATGCAGTCCCTGGTAAAGAGAAATTATGTCGGAGTAAAATTTTGACAAGTGGTAGAAGTAAAGATTAAACACTTAAGCCTAATAGAGTTTAAGTCCCAGTAAGGATCCATAAAATTAGAAAAATTGCTGATTTGTTGCTTAGTTGTTCAGTTTAGCCAAGAAAAATCAGAAGTGGTTCCAACAAGCATCATTCTAAGTTTTTCTAATAGCTAGAAATCTATTTTTGGCAACTAAAATAATAAGTCGTAGAAGTTTGTTTTGCAAGGAATGATTCAAAGTTGTTGAAATTCTTTTTGGTTTGGTCAAGTTTCATAACATGAAAATTCGAGAAAATCATGATCAGATCTAATTGCTAACAAACAAATTCAATTATGGAGACAAATAAATACGAGACTTTAAGAGTAAGTGCAAAAGGCTTGTCCCTGTCAATAACATCGTCATTTCAACATAGATAGCTTAATCTAGCACTAATTTAGTTCATAGATAGCTTCCACGACAACCTTACAACTTTTTCTTAGTGTAGAAGAGGTTCAACTCCCTCAACAGGTTCTTTGTTTTCATCGTGTTTTTGGTTAAGTTAGCCCTAGTAATTAAATTTAATATAGTTGTTCTTCTTTTGCTAACATATTTGACAATTTTGTCTAGTTGTTAAGCTTTAGATTTTGCTTTATTAGTAAATTTATGTTTCAGCCTTCAGTTGTGATTAATTTTTCTTAAGTTTTCAAGTAAAGATCTTAGCTTCCTTTTATTTTTATTGGTAGCTAGTTTTGTATGTTTCTACTAGCTTCAATTTACATTTTTGCTAGTACTCTGAGTTTTCAATTCAAACTAAGTTTTAAGATTTTTGTTGCACTCTTTAGTTTAATGTTCTCTTGTTACTTTAGTTTTAGATTATCCTTTATTTGTACCATGCACGCTTTTCTCCCTCTTTCTTATTTTTCCCTTATTTGCTTAATAAACTAACTTAATTGTGACCTAGATGTGAGAAGTCTCTAATGTTCTTCCAGGGCAATTATTTTTAAACTTTCATGCAACAATGCTCCCTATTTCTACTGCAACTGTTTGGCCAAGGTATTATTGCCACAATGATTCAATTAAATAATGTTTTTTCATAAACTTTTAACCAAGTTCCTATGCTTGGAAGAAGTGAGGGTCATTAGAAATCCCTCTTTCTTGTTTTGAGCAAAGCAAGTAAGCCTGGAAAATGGGCGAGCTAGGTTGGGTTCGGGTTGGGTCAACACGGGTTGCGGGTTATACGGGTTGGGTCACTAACAGGTCATAGGTTGATGAAGACTAACCCTAACCCTAACCCCAACCCGCCCTTTGTGAGTTACAGGTTAATCTGCAAGTTAACATTTTTTTCATTCATCACACTTTGAGCTATAATTTCTAGCTCATGAATATATTTTTTCCCTAAGATTATACATATAGCACATGCAATATATAAGATAAAATCATATTTTGTCAGTGATTAAAATTAAAAAAAAAAATCCCAAATATCAAGTATTGCATCTTGTTATGAATTTAACATAGTAAACATTCAAATTATAGCAAGATTATAAAGCATCATATCATAAATCCTAACATCATAAGTCTTTGAATTAAAGCAAGATCATAAGTCAAATAAGTCTTAACATTACAAGTCATAACTGCCCCTCATCTAATAATACCAAATTGTTGTTCAAGAAAAAAAAAATAACAGTACCAAACTTAAATTATTAAAACTTCATGAAATATAAAGTTTGAACTTGAAGTCACTAGTTTGAAACCCCATAATCTCCAATCCAAGTGTTGAAACTTCTCCTTAAGATAATATTTCCATTCCAAGCTCACTAGTCACTAGGAACAATAGAACTTCCACTAAATTGATATTCATATCCCACCACCTCATCTTTAGCATGACCAGTAGCAATATTGTCACCTAATTCATGATGAAGAAACACTCAAAACAATTTCAAAAGCATATCCCAAAATCAAGGTTGGTTCATCCATTAGAGAGAGAGAGAGAGAGAGAAAGCAGATTAGCACTATTTTAATTTAATTGAAAACCATAGAAACCATATAGACATTCATGAATCATGATTAACCACTGCTTCTACTTAATTCACTCTATTTTTGTCTTTTCTTTATACCAATCCCACATGCATGCCAACAATATTCTATAGAGGTGAAAAGATTAAGGAGAATATATCTTTCTTTTCTAACAATACCAAACAAAAAAAATTCAAGAATTGAAGACTTCAACTGTAGCCAATCAATTGATAAATGACAAATTCAAATCACATAATCAATTACTATTAGTTATGATTATTATTTTTCCACAACAAATCACATAATTAATGAAATATATGGCAAATACTAAGACAAAATAGTAAAGTTTAAATATTAAAAACCTCCATGTTACCTTCCTTTTGAAATCCATTCAACCAAGTGTGGGTTGTTATCAATGCCTCTACATTTTCTAGTAAAAGAAAACCTCTCAATTTTGTCAAGACATGCCCACCCATGTTGAAAGTAAATTCACTAGCTACAGTGCACCTAGAGAAATTACCAAGAAATTGCAGCAAGCATGCAGAAACTACTGTGCAGCACCACCAACTACAATAGGCCGGTGCAACTTTGTCAAAAGTGGCCACCCAAGTCCACAAAAATGGAAAACTCCCAACTGTATTTTGCTTTACATCTATTACCTTAGTTGGATTTTGCATATAAATAGCTATGTTGTATGCATTAGTTATCATCAAGTTTTAATCAAAATTTCAGTTTATAATTCTCCTCTGTTGAGTGAGTTTTTGAGAGTGGATTTCTCTTAATTTATCTCTGTATCTTAGGTCTTGCCAACCTAAGTGGTGATCCTAGCAATTGAATTCATTGTAGTGGGATTTTAAATCTCGCCAAAATCGGTGTTTCAATATCGGCTCCTGTGCCATTTGGTATTAGAGCCAATATATTTCCAGTTTGCACGTCATTCTGAGCGTTGTGGTGAAATCCCGGTCATCGAAAAGTGTCGCACGCACCCCCATGTGCCATTGCCGTTGTCTCACGCACCGACCACGTGCACCACTGTAATTCGCATGAAATACACGCGTAGGTCATCTTTAACCCAGCACCTGCCACCTCATCACCACGACATTGCCACCTTATCACCATGTCATTGCCACATCATCTATTTGCCACGTCACCTTCACCACGTTACTTGACACATCACCAGCCACGTCAGTGACACGTCATCACCACAGCCGCCCTTTATTGCCACGTCATCAAGTCCCTATACTTATTTTTATCTTACGGATTGGCCACTATACTTTTATAAATTTCAAATTATCCCTACTTCCAAAAACTAACTTTCCCAAAAAGCCCATTACCAACCTAAACTCAACATGCCTCCTAGAAGACAAAATCCTCCTCGTCAACGAGCTATTTGAGACATAGAGATGGAAGAACTACGTCAACAAATTCAAAGGCTTCAAGAAAGACTCGAAGCTTTTAAGGGTCAACAAGCTCAACACCTGCAAGATGAACCACACGAGTCAGAGGAAGATACAGACAATGAGAATCCCTTCCATCACCTAAGGGATAATGAAAGCTCATCATCAACAGAAAGAGTTCGTCGTTGACATCCCCAATAAAATGTTGCTCCTAAATCCATTGACCTTGGCATCAAAATTGATATTCCAGATTTTAAAGGTCACCTTCAACCAGATGAATTTATCGATTGGTTGCACACTGTGGAACGTGTGTTTGAACTCAAGGATATTCCTAACAACAAGTGTGTAAAGCTCGTCGCCATCAAATTAAAGAAACATGCATCCATTTGGTGGGAGAATCTCAAACGTAGTTGAGAAAGAGAAGGCCACAACAAAATTAGAACTTGGGAGAAAATGCGTCAGAAACTCACTCGTAAGTTCTTACCTGACAGTTACTACCAAGATAATTTTGTTAAATTTCATAACTTGCAGTAAAAATCTTTGACTGTGGAAGAATATACTATGGAGTTCGAACAATTAATGATGAAGTGTGATGTTCATGAAAAGGAAGAGCAAACCATAGCCCGATATCTTGGAGGATTGGACTATAACATTTCCAAAGTTGTTCAAGTTCAACAATATTGGACTTTGGATGTTGTAATTCGGCTAGCATTAAGGGTTGAAAAGCAAATCTCAAAGCAGAATATCACTAGTGCTTCAAAACCGCGGGATTTTGGAGCCAGCTGAGGGACTCAAGCCTCAAAAACTGTTGCCAAGACCCCTGCTAAGGCTGAGAAGGAAGTTAGCTTGAGCCGTCCAGCTCAATCTAACACTCGAAAGTGTTTCAAGTGTCAAGGATTTGGCCACATAGCCTTCGACTGTCCAAATAGAAGAGTTGTCACCATTATTGGAGGAGAAATTCATGAAGCCTCAGAAGATGAAGCAGAAAAGGGGTAAAATGATGAAACTAAGTCACCACAACTTGAGGAAGAACTCATCCCAACTAACCATGGAGAATCTTTGGTTGTGCGTCGTAGTCTTCATGCTACCATAACCAAGGATGAAGATTGGCTTCGACATAACATCTTTCACACCAAATGTACTTCTCGAGGGAAAGTCTGCAATGTCATCATCGATAGTGGAAGTTGTGAGAATGTTGTGTCCAATTATATGGTTGAGAAGCTAGGACTACCTGTCAAAGATCATCTCCATCCATACAAGCTACAATGGCTATGAAAAGGAAATGAGGTAAAAGTAACTAAACATTGCCTTGTGTCTTTTTCTATTGGTAATAGGTACAAGACGACGTATGGTGTGATGTTATTCCCATGGATGCTTGTCACTTGTTACTTGGTCGCCTTTAGCAATTGGATAGAAAGGCTATCCATGACGGCCATGCTAACACCTACTCGTTTGTGAAAAATGGTGTGAACATCAAACTCACTCCCCTGAAGCCTGAAGAAACTCTTGAAAAGAAGGATGAGGACAAGGCTTTAATCTCCAAATCAACCTTTCAGAAGTTGCACCAAGAATCGAGAATAGCATGTCTCCTACTATTATCCAAAGTAAATGATGCCACTTGCCCTTTTCCAGAAGATATCCGATCTCTCCTTGAAGAATTTTCTAATGTTGTTCCTAACGAGATCCCTCCTGGATTACCACCAATGAGAGACATTCAGCATGCCATTGATTTCATCACAAGATCTATCATTCCAAACAAGCATGCTTATCGGAGGAACCCTCAAGAGTATGCAGAACTTCAACGACAAGTCAAAGAGCTGATAAAGAAAGGACTTGTCAAGAAAAGTGTTAGCCCATATGTCGTGCCTGTACTACTAGTCCCAAAGAAAGATGGAACTTGAAGAATGTGTGTAGATAGTTGAGCAGTCAACAAAATCACTATCAAATACCGCTTCCCAATTCCACGCCTTGATGATATGCTTGATCAACTGCATGGAGCTATTGTCTTCTCAAAGATTGATTTGAGAAGTGGATATCACCAGATTCGAATGCGTCCCGATGATGAATGGAAGACAGCATTCAAAATTAGAGATGGTTTGTACGACTTGACAGTCATGCTATTCGGATTCTCTAATGCTCCTAGCACTTTCATACACCTTATGAACCAGGTATTTCGACTCTTCATTGGGAAATTTGTTGTGGTTTACTTTGATGATATCTTGGTATATAGCAAGAATGAACAAGAGCACCTAGACCATCTCTGGCAAGTTTTTGAAGTCCTTAGAGAGCAGAAACTTTATGCTAATCTCAAGAAATGTTCCTTCCTCACTACAAGTGTGACGTTTCTTAGATACATCATCACTGCTCAAGGTATCATGATGGACCCCAGTAAAATTGATGCTATTGTCAATTGGCCTACACCAACATCCATGCACGACACCAACATCCATGCACGATGTTAGAAGTTTCCATGGCTTGGCATCTTTTTACCAGAGATTCATCAAGAATTTCAATTCTATTGCCTCCCCAATCACTGACAGCATTAAGGGTGACAAATTTTCATGGAACGACTAAACCCAAAAGAGTTTTGAAGGATTGAAGAGGAAGCACACTAAAGCCCCTGTACTTGCACTTCCCAACTTTGACATGATGTTTGAAGTAGATTGTGATGCTTCTAATGTTGGAATTGGTGTAATGTTAAGTCAAGAAGGACGACCCATTGCCTTCTTTAGTGAAAAGTTGAATGACACAAAGCTTAGATATTCCACCTATGACAAAGAATTCTATGCAATTGTTCTAGCCTTGGAGCATTGGAGTCATTATCTTCTTTCAAAAGAATTCATCTTGCACTCTGACCATGAGGCATTGACGCACTTGAATTCTCAACAAAAGATCAGTCGTTGACATGCTGTTTGGAGTGAATTTCTACAAGTTTATCCTTTCCTCCTCAAATATAAATCTGGAGTCCAACATCGCGTAGCTGATGCTCTTAGTCACCGACATGCCTTGCTTACTTCCTTACAGATGAAAGTCACTAGATTTGAAGTGATCAAGGAGTTGTATAAGGATGATCCTGATTTTAGCAGCATTTGGGAAGCCACCTCTAATCAAGCCTTTCAGCAATATCATTGCCAGCAAGATTACCTCTTCAAGGGTAATCGACTATGTGTTCCACATTGCTCACTCCGAGATTCAATTATTTGGGAAGCACATAATGGTGGATTAGCTAGTCATTTTGGGAGAGACAAGACTTTAGCTCTTGCTAAAGAAAATTTTTACTCGCCAAAGCTGGAGTAGAATGTCATTCGTCACATTCAAAGATGCAAAGTTTGTCACCAAACCGAGACAATCAATCAAAACACAGGGTTGTATCTGCCATTGCCTATCCCAACATCACCTTGGGAAGATGTTAGCATGGATTTTGTCCTTGGTCTACCGCGAACCCAACGAAGCAAGGATTCTATCATGGTCATGGTTGATAGATTTTCTAAAATAGCTCACTTTATTGCTTTTCAGAAAACTAATGATGCTTCTCTCATTGCTGAGTTATATTTTAGAGAGATTGTGCATTTACATGGAGTTCCAAAGACTATCACTTCAAATAGAGATGTGAAGTTCATGAGTCATTTTTGGAGGACTTTATGGAGAAAGATAGGCACTCAACTCCAGTTCAGTTCTGCCAGTCATCCCCAAACTGATGGTCAAACTAAAGCTATCAACAAGATTTTGGGGAATCTACTAGGAAGTTTTGTGGGAAAGAATTTGTGACAATGGGATCTTATGCTTGCCCAAGCTGAGTTTGCCTACAATAACTCTTCAAATCAAGCTACAAGAAAATGCCCATTCAAAGTAGTATATGGAGTTCGTCCTCGCAGCCCTTTAGATCTTGCTCCATTGCCCACATCCCGACAATTTAGTGCAGATGCTGAACAACGAGCCAAGGAGATAAAGAAACTTCATGAAGAAGTTCATGAGAAACTACAGTGTCAAACCATCAAGTATAAGGCTCATCATGACAAGCATCGAAGGAAGGTTGTGTACAAGGAAGGAGATTGGGTTTGGATATACCTTCGGAAGGAAAGGTTTCCTAACCAACCTAATGCCAAACTCTCCCCTAGAGCAGATGGTCCTTTTCAGATAGTGAAGAAGATCAATGATAATGCTTACAAGATCAAACTCCCAGGTGACTATGGAGTCTCTGCTACTTTTAATGTCACTGACTTATCTCCTTACTATGAGGATCATGAGCATTGATCTCAAACTCAAGGACGAGTTTCCTCTAACCAAGGGAGAATGCACCAGGAGAAATTACCAAGAAATTGCAGCAAGCATGCAAAAACTACTTTGCAGCACCACTAACTACAATAAGTCGGTGCACCTTTGTCAAAAGTGGCCACCCAAGTCCACGAAAATGGCTAACTCCCAACTGTATTTTGCTTTACATTTACTACCTTAGTTGGATTTTGCCTATAAATAGCTATGTTGTATGCATCAGTTATCACCAAGTTTTAATCAAAATTCCAATTTATAATTCTCCTCTGTTGAGTGAGTTTTTGAGAGTGAATTTCTCTCAATTTATCTCTGTATCTTAGGTCTTACCAACCTAAGTGGTGATCATGGCAATCGAATTCATCGTAGTGGGATTTTAAATCTCGCCAAAATCGGTGTTTCGATATCAGCTATTACGCCATTCAGTTGTAATTGGGATAGAGAGAATGTCTCTTGCCATTCTAGCCAAGTCTAGAAGACTCTTTTCATTTTGTTTCCAAACCTCAAGGATATCTAAAGGTTGTCAGTATGATTGCCTACCTTCCTCCAAGTATTGACATAATTAAGAGGTGGGCAATTTTTTCCACATCAAAATTTTCAAAACCCTACATAAAGGTAAAAGGAAACAAATAAATAAGAGTAAATGAATTAAGTTAAAATAGTTTGAGAATATTGAAGAAAGTTTAAAAACAAAACAATTATTACCTCCATTAATCGATCTTTATTACTAATAGCTTCAGTCATAGTAGTTGTAGACATTATGGCTTTGTTTGCACTGTCTCACTTGTTGCCTTCCATTACATTTTTATTGTAAAGTTGATACAATTTATTAATAACATGATTGACCTTGGCAGTGTATGTTTCCTCATTTAGCATCTTGTAACAATATGTCACAAAAGATAACTTGTAACGAGGATCCAAAATTATGGCAAGAGCAAGAACAAGGCTATAAGAATCCTAGTACTTCTCAAATATGGCCTTCATATTGGTTGCCATGTCTTTGATATAGATATCCCCACATTTTATATTCTCCAACAAGCATAACTCAATCTTCCAAACATGCTTAAAGTATAAATTTGATGTTGGATATTTCGATCCAGAAAACAAAGTGTTGATTTCACTAAAAGGTTGTAAAAGTTCACAAATTCTACCAACTCATTCCCATTCTCTTTCATCCAAGGCCCATTTAAAATTTTCATCATCCAATTCAAAAGAAGCAAAAGAATCTTTATAGATTACTACCCTTTCAAGCATGTTATGTGTGGAATTCCACGTAGTAGGACAATCTAACTATAATCCCTTGCTTAAATCATCACTAGCTCGTTTAGCACATTCTTTAAAATTTAACATCCTTCCCTCAGTAGTAGTTATATACTTTATCCCATCCCTCAATTTTCTAACACTAGCATCAATCACTTTCAATCCTTCTTGCACAATTAAATTCAAAATATGAGCAGAACATCAAATATGGAAATAATCTCCACTAGATAACAATGGCTTTTCAAGATTCAACTGATTACGCAGAGCTTCTTACATGTTATCATTACACCTAACATTGTCTAAAGTGATTGAAAATATTTTACTTTTAATGCCCCACTCTTTTAACAGCTCATACACTTGTTTAAACAAAATTCTAGCTATGTGTGGAGGTGGGACATGCAAAAACCTCAAAATCAAACTATGTAAATTCCATTTATCATCAAGAAAGTGAGTAATCAAACAAAGATAACCCTGAGTAAATGCAGAAGTCCACATGTCACATGTTTTTAATAGATGCCTTTCCATATTAGAAGTTCCATACTTTCTTTCACAGATGTAGGTAATACCACAATGTTTACAGTTACCTCTTTCTAGACCATCATCATTCAAGTGTGCTTCAATCAATTGAAAATCATCCCAAGGTTTAGATTTTTTTTCTTCTTCTTGGAAAATGGGGCACCTTCATTTTTCTCAAGGTCAAGGGACAAAGATCTGTAAGTTTCATTGTCCTTACCAATTTAAAGTAATTATTAGAAAATTAGAATATATCCAAAATAAAAATTTATATAAATTAATTTTACTTAAATTTCTTGAAATTTAGCATTACCGTGCATAAGATCCAAGATTGTTTCTGTTTCTGGTTGTGATGGTGGTGGTATGCCTTGTTTTGTTGCAGGTATTTGAGATGGGTTGTCGGTATTTGAGATGGGTTGCCATTGCCCTAGCTTTGCTTCCTTTTCATCTTCCACAAAATATGCGAGTACTAGAAAAAGATAAACACAGATTAATTTGAAGCACAAAACAAGGAAAAAACTAAAAATCATAATTCATAAGCTAAAAGAGAGATGAGACATCAAAAACCACAAGTATAACCAATAACATAAGCAAGTGAAATTGAATCAAATAAAAATGGATGAAAACCCAATAAAATATAATCACAATTTTAGATAAAAATAGAATAGAATTTCAAAAGAAACTAAGTGAAATAAAATCAAATAAAATAAGGACTTGGATATTGAAATTTACTAAGTGTTCAACTAAACATGAAAAATTCATCTTAATACAAATACCCTAAGTAAATAATGGAGAAAAATAAAGGTTAAATCTCCATTTTGGTCCCTCAACTATTGTACAGACACCCGATTTAGTCTCTCAACTCAAAAATCCCTGATTTGGTCCCTAATGTTTACCATTTTAACCTTGTTGACTCAATGTACCCCAAGAGGGGGGTGAATTGGAGTTCCAAAAATTCTCCCCTTTTTTTTTTAACCACAAAACCAAAGTTAAAGAGAGTAGAGAAGAAGAGCTTGCACAATGAATTTATAGAGGTTCGGTCCAACCACTTGGAGCCTAATCCTCTACCTTGGCTTCACTCACCAAGGATTTCCTCCACACTCTTCACTAAGAAAGACAAGGGTGGCTTAAAGGAGCCACTCAATCCTTTTACAAGAATATGAGTATTTCTCTCAAACCTCACCCCTTTACAATGTAAACCCCACAAATCCTCTCAATAGATCACTCTTGAAGGAATCAACACACCCCCAAAATCACTCACTAATAGCACAAGAAGAGGATTACAAACAAAGATCTCTCAAAGATCAAAATCTCTAGTTAAAGCACAAGTTGGTAGGTAAAGATATTCAATATAATGTTCTCCAAACTTCTTCAGATCTGTTACCAACCATATTTATAGCCCCTTGCTCGAAAATAGTCGTTTCTAGCCGTTGGGGGTCATTAAATGCTCTGCAGGACGCAAAAGTTGAGTTGCAGGATTGTTAGGAGAGCCGGTTTAGCTTCCTAGAGCCGGCTCTGTACAGCTGGCTCACCATTTCTACAGCCGACTTTACGGGATTCCTGCACATTCTGTTTTTCTCGAGAGTCGGCTGCAAAACTTTGAGCGGGCTTTGGAACTCCGACTTTAAATACATTAAATAATCTTCAAATAACTCGACCATTGTGCATTAAATGCACCATCACAGCCGGCTGCGAAGTTGGAGCTGGCTCTGGTTCCATTTTCCACGTGCGCCAAAACAGCAGTTGAATTTCTGGCCTGTAGAGCCGACTCAACAAAATCTGCAGCTGGCTCTTTGCATTTTTGCTTCCCAGAGCCGGCTGCAATTTTCTTAAGCCGACTCTCTGTATATTTTTACCCTTTGAGCCCTTTTTAATGCAATCTCATTTTGCTTACTTTGCAGTATATTGACAATTTAACTACACACTTGAATAAATCAATTAGTCACTCAAATGTGTTTTGTAATCATCAAAATCATAGGTACAACAAACCCCGATTTGATCCTTCCATTAAAAAGTGGCCCACATGTCTCCTTAACTCACGGAAACTTGATGACATGTCAAGATATTATGACATGTCAGCTTAACAACATGGATAAATAAATGATGTGTCAAAATATAATTATCTAATTCATCTAAAATGACAATTTTACCCTCATTTCTTCCTCCAGCATCCTCTTTCTCAAATCTTCTTCATCCATTCTTTTTTTTCTCTCTCTTTGCATCCTCCAAGTCCACTTTTATCACCATTTTTCTAAATCAAACAATCAATTCATCAATATTTTTCCTCCAAATCGACTTTCATCACCACTTTTCAAACCCACAAAAACTCAGCACTTACTGGGTTCGAAATCGAACTCCCATTTTTTGCTCTCTTTGTTTTTCCCTTTTTCCTTTCTTCTTCCTCTTCCTTTCCTTTCACTTTCTGCAAACCTAGACACCTTCTAACATCAAATCCAAGCATAACACAAACATAGACCCAAAATCTCCCCAAAATAATCAATGTTCCTCTCAACCTTCCAAAAAACCCAGAAAAATCAAGGTATCTTCTCCCAAATTTCTACAAAAACCCAACTAAAGTACCTAAAACAAAAACCAAAAATCAAACAGTAAGAAGATGAAAAACCTAAACCAATCAAAATCCAGCAAATCTGCTAGGAAAAACCCAACGGTTGCTGGGTTCATGATAGGCTGGGAAGAACCCAGTGGCTGTTGGGTTCGAGAACCCAACAGATCAGTTGGGAAGAACCCAGCAGATCGGCTGGGAAGAACCCAACTAGGAAGAACTCGATCTGTTGAATTCGTGACCCCACTAGCTGGGAAGAACCTGATCGAACCCAGCAACCGTTGGGTTCTCGAACACAGCTAGGAAGAACCCATTGGCTGTTGGGTTCCTAGGTTCATTGGGTTCTTGTTGAAAAGGAAAAGGAAAGGGAAGAAGAAAAGGAAAAGGAACAGGAAAGAGAAAAACAAAGAGGAAAGGAAAAAGGAAAGAGAGGAAAAAAAATAAAAATGGAACCTAGCTTAGTTCCTGGGTTCGCTGGGTTAAAGAACCCAGTGGAAGTTGTGAAGGGGAAGAAGAAAGGGAAGAGGAAAGAGAAAGGGAAAGGAGAAAGAGGGAAAAAAAAAAAAAGGAGTATTTTTTTTTGGTGGGATGAGTTGGAACATTAGGTGGACAAAATTTTTAGCCAGGTCATTTGTTTTTGCCCAGTTGTCAATCTTGCATGCAAAAATTTTAGACACGTCATGCTTTTCCGTCAATTAACGTGAAAAAATTAACGGAAGGACCAAATC